TATAGCTGGTAGATGGGAACACTATAGCTGGTAGATGGGAATATTATAGCTGGTAGATGGGAACACTATAGCTGGTAGATGGGAATATTATAGCTGGTAGATGGGAATATTATAGCTGGTAGATGGGAATATTATACCTGGTAGATGGGAATATATTGACGAGGCATACTCAGGAAGTGTTAACTGTGTATGCCTATGGCACTTCTGAATTTATTCTGCATTTCCTACATATGATTCACTCCACTAAGCAGGGGAGTGGAAATAGCCTACGCTACTCTATTCCTTTGAGATGTATTTCATTCTTGTCTCAATAAACATACTTGAACTCCACTAAGCAATCATTTTACTGTTCATTTTTGTAGTCAGATCATCGATTATCTGTAATGTATATGATAACACTCTTATTTTCCATGCAGAGAGTATGCATATAGTGTTATGAGCCGTTCTTGTAATAGCTGGACGGTAGAGCGAGGGTCTCGCTTCATGCAGGTCGGCGTTCAATCCCCGACCGTCCACAAGTGGTTGGGCACCATTCCTTTTCCCCCCGTCCCATCCCAAATCCTTATCCTGACCCCTTCCAAGTGCTATATAGTCGTAATGACTTGGCGCTTTCCCCTCCCTGATACTTCCATTTCATTCCTGTGTGGGTAAGCTTGCTGTACAGGTTTACTGTATTCCTTCTGTTTCAGACCTCTCACGAGGCTTGAGAGGGAAGGTGTAGAACTTATGTAATAGATAAATCACGTGATAGATCAAGAGAGTTTGAAAATAAAATAAAAATTTGTTGGTTCCTTTCGAATAAAGCTTCCATATTCATCCTAATTTATTTAACTGGCTCTGAAATGATATAATTATGATAGTAGACATTCTATAACACGCTGTTGACTCTAGATATTCTGTAATATGCTGGAGAATGACTGTATGTATGTAATACCTTAGTGTGTTACTATAGACATTCTGTAACATGCTGAAGTACGACTAGACATGTTCGCAGTGCGACGATTCGCATAGACATTCAAGTAGGCGTTTTTATGCACTGTTTGCCAGGAAATGATACTCCCCATATGTACGTGTGCGTGTGTGTGTGTGTGTGTGTGTGTGTGTGTGTGTGTGTGTGTGTGTGTGTGTGTGTGAGAGAGAGAGAGAGAATAGCGTGTGAATGTCTTTATGGTTGCGCCTGTGTATATTAAAGTGCAGCTGAATGAGTGTTTGTGTGCGTGTATCTATGTGCATTTATATGTGTGTGTGTGTGAGTCTTTATGTGTTTGCATACATACCTGGATGTACTCACCTGGATGTACTCACCTAGATGTACTCACTTGGATGTACTAACCTAGATGTGCTCACCTGGATGTACTCACCTGGATGTACTCACCTAGATGTACTCACCTGGACGTACTCACCTAGATGTACTCACCTAAATGTACTCGGCTGGATCTCTCCTAACCTATATAGTCTGGCGAAGTCCACTTACTTCAGCCTCTCCTTGAAGCTTAATCCCTCCAGCTCGAGGGCGAGCTTTAGTGAACATTTTTGAACATATTGCACATCCTTGAACATATTGCACATCTCTTACCAGTTCACAGTTTTCGACTTAATTATGAAAAAATGGTGTAGCATATTCAAAAATGGCTATCATGAGGTTATCTTGAGATGATTTCGGGGCTTTAGTGTCCCCGCGGCCCGGTCCTCGACCAGGCCTCCACCCCCAGGAAGCAGCCCGTGACAGCTGACTAACACCCAGGTACCTATTTTACTGCTAGGTAACAGGGGCATAGGGTGAAAGAAACTCTGCCCATTGTTTCTCGCCGGTGCCCGGGATCGACCCCGGGACCACAGGATCACAAGTCCAGCGTGCTGTCCACTCGGCCGACCGGCTCCTTTCATGGTTCATACATCTGATATTCATATTGCCCAGAAAATTATTTTGGTCTAAATTTCTGAAGAATTCACAGCCATTATGTCCTAGGCTGATGAGAGGACATTTCTAATGAGTGCTTCTGGTATTTGATCTAAGGTTTTGAGTACTCACGAATCTTTCTCATTTTTTAATGCTGGAATCTGCTGCCCTTACCATCCCATATTTCTGAATAGATCTTCACATTATTGCTTCAATCCCCCATGCATTGAATTGGGGTTTTGGCAACAGGGTGTTGAGAGACAAAACCTCTTTCCATTAAATGAACAAATCCACAAGGGCCGTGACGCGGATTCGAACCTACGTCCGAGAACATCCCAGACGCTGCCTTTATCGACTAAGCTACGACATGGTCAAAAGAGTTGAAACCGAAGTTCTACTGAACTTACTGGATCCTGCAGCCTCTTTCCATTACTTTTGCATCGTCTGTAAACACTGATATGAAGTAGCTATTTTCCACTCTCATGTCGTTGACGTATATATATGAAAGAGGATATACGTCATATATGCTGGGATATAAGCGGTCCCAGCACCAACCCTTGTGGTACTCCACTCGTAACCCCTTACTCTGATATCTCCACCGCTTACTGCAATACTTGCTTACTTCCTGAGAGATACTGGGAAGATTCTTCCTAGTACATATGCCTTCTCCAGCTTAAACGGGAGTCTCTTGTTTATTAAATTATCAAATTCATTTTGACAGTCGAGAACACGCCATGTTTGGTTTCTGTGAAGCAAGATTTTCCTTTGTTAAAGTCGTGCTGGTGTTTTAAGGCTAACTATATATAGAGCTGTTCCAAATGTTCTAATTGCTTCGTTGCTAGTAACTTGCGTGTTAGTGATATTGATCTGTAGTTTAGCGGTTCTAGTTTTTCACCTTTTTTTTTTTTGGTTTATTAATATTGTATTTAACATTTTTCAACGGCATGCAGGATTTCTCGTGCATTTAAATTGCGTTTGTCTGTGTTTTTGCGTGCATCTGAATGTGTGTTTCTGAGTGTGTTGGTGTATATGCTTCTGAGTGAGTTGGTGTATTTGCTTCTGAGTATGTCTGTGAATATGTTTCTGTGTGCTTTCTGTTTTTCATAAATTCAGGTAATGTGTATATTTCTGCGCGTATCTTCCTGTCTGTCTTTATATTTATAGAAAATATCCTTCAATTCCAAACTGGAATATTTTAAATGTCACTGTTTTGCTTATTAACGTAGAATGATCATATGCTGAACTATATTCAATCACCCTCATCCTCCTCCTCTCCCATCAGATCTGTCAGGGCGCGTGAAGTTGCCTTAAATCTAGTTTAAAAATGTTATCTCGAAGTTCGGTTATTTTTTTCAGGGTTACATATCCTGTGAGTTAGCATATCAGTGTAGTATCATTGTACCCACCGTGAGGAAGGAGAGCTGCCGGGTTCAGTGTCTTGTTAAGTGTATCCAGGTAAACATATGCAGATGAGGAGTCAAAATAACGTGGCTGAAATATGTTGACCAAACCACACACTAGAAGGTGAAGGGACGACGACGTTTCGGTCCGTCCTAGACCATTGAGAATGGTCCAGGACGGACCGAAACGTCATCGTCGTCTCTTCACTTTCTAGTGTGTGGTCTGGTCAACATATCCCAGTAAAGCTTGGATACAATTAACTGTCTCCAGTTAAGAGATCATCAGACAAGGAGATTATCATTTATCCAAGCTTCAAGCTTACATTATTTTGTGACGAGGAAAAATAGCGAAATCAGAATCTATATATGTGCTAAGCTAATTGCTTTCTATCGCAGATTCTTTGCCTCTATAATGATTGATAACGATGGCTGCAGTTTCATTGCGTGCTGATTCACTGCTTTGCTGTCTGATGATTTATAGAAGATTCTCTGGGGAAACAGGATTCAGTATGATCTCTTAGCATCACCAGAAAGTCGGTATATTTGCTCTTTCATTTTCATTTTCATTTTCTTTATTCGGACATGAGAAGGAATATTCCAGAGCGTGATCAACTTTCCCCGACTAGTTACCATTTTCACAACTTTGCATGAAAATTACATGAAATTTTCATGCAACTTTGATATCTACAAATGAATACATTCGTATCAATGAAAATAATCCTTTTAAAGTATTCATTTCCCAAATTCTTATATGTGAATAGTGCTGGAAACGGTGCTAGTTCCTCTGCGGAAAATATTATTGAACCTAACCATGGAATATTTCCTAGAAATGTCTTCGTTATTATCATTAACTTTACTTAAAATAAATTGATACGTTTATTGTGGTATGTTTTGGGTTTTGGGATTCAGTTCCTGAGCCCAGTGTGTGTAACCCGGCTCTGTGCTAATCACAGGATGATCGCATAATAAACTTAACTAATTTATGGCCATTCTGAGGAAAAAATTTCGTCAGTCTTTGCACACAGAAATCACAACAGCGTGATGCATCATATGAATGAATCCACAAGGGTAGGTTCGAACCCTAATCATGGGCCTTGTGGATTTGTTCATTCTTCAGTCTTTTCGCATACAAAGCTTTAGAACGACGTTTTGCAATACTGCAATAACACGAGAGTACCTTACTCAACCAAATGTAGTTTAGGGTTCAGTTCTGAGCCCATTATGCCCTGTAATCTGTAATTTCAATCTGTTATCTGTAATCTGTAATCTGTTTTCTGTAACGCCTATCATTGTACATATTACAGGAACCAGATTAAAAGTACAAAACTATATCCATATATTGGTAATTCAGTATGCCAATATTATAAACTATAGCCCTATATTGGTAAGCCAGTATGCCAATATTATAGAGAGATGTTGTGAAGGGTTGAGATATGTTTACACAGGAGCGACTCCAAGCCCAGGATATTCGGGTTGACTTCTGTCAGGAAGGGGGAGGCACTTGTTGATTTTAGCCTCTCCACTGCCAATCATAACTCAGTATTCGTATCAAAACTAAAATCCGGAGTCGGGTTGGTGAAGGCTGGTTGTGAGGCTGGGGCGTGATTGGCTGGTGAGAGGAGCCACGTCACGGCGCCCCGCCCCCTCTAGTGGGTTCTGGCGCGAGGGGACACAACACCCTCCGCCACAATACCCCTCACTTGACAGGTGGTTCCCCACATCACACGCAATTCCGCGAAGACCTGACGTGCTTGACGCTTGTGCTTGACGTTTTGTGATTGTGAGGTGTTGACACTTTTCTCAAAGGTGATAACGGCTGCTGCTTGTGAAGTGAAGTGATGTCTAACATCACCATTATTGTTTGGTGATGTTAGTGGCACGGGAGAGACCTCGCTGGCTAGGCAAGTGCAGGAGACTATAAGCTGCCGTGGATGAGCGCTCATACCCAGAGCTTAGATTTCACTATCTCCGTCGCAGTGACACACAGCCAGTTTTAGCGCAGCGCTGACGGCTACACATCAATTTTGACTGTAATGAGACTTGAACGAATATCATAAAAGTGCCAAAGAGTTTTTTTTACAGTGAAACGAATCATTATTATATTCGCGCAAAATAAGAATTCCCTAACCATTCGAATAATGCATTATGTGTATATGCTGCCACGCCGAGCATTTCAAGTTTGACATTTTGCCCCGAGGGGCGAGGTAATTGGGCAGTAGAGTGATTTATATAGCAGAGACGGGTAAGGGGGGGGTCAAAGGTGCTTGGAAGTGTATTGAAACCACAGTGATTCAAAGCGGTAGTTAAGGAAAACAATCAGCACCATGGAGCAGACAGTGTTAGGTGGGGGAGTGTCCCTGCCTGCGACCCCGGGCACAATGGTGTCCCTGGGGCCGTCCCTGGCCACCCTGGCGCCCCTAGAGCCCCCCAGGGGGTCACCATACCCAGGGCTTCTCTCCGGGTCAGAATGGGCACTTCTGGAAACCACTGACATCACACGAGACTATGGTGGGCTGTTTTCCTCCTCGCTTGTAGAATACGGCCTACCGCCCATTCTGCCACGCACGCCCACGCCCCACGACGCCCTCCACCCATCCCACGACCTCACCTATCCTATGCACTACATCACCCCCGCCGACTATCCGGCTCCTCTAACGCCGGAAAGTGACCCACCGTCAGATGGCAGCGGGTCCCCGACCTCGTCCCCACCGACGTCTCACCTGCTGCCCTCCGCTCATTCCTTCACCTCGGCTGCCCACTACGTGTCCACCTCACAATTCACAAACTATCTACCGAGCCACGCCGCCTTCAGCAGCCTATCCCCGCCTACCGACGACCTAGTTACGCTGTCCTCCGTCCTACCCAGCAACCACGGGAGCGATCAGACCTCGTCCCTAGGCAGCCTGCTGCCCCTAGCAGGGCCTAGCGCCGGAGAAATGACCTTTGGGGCACTCAACGGAGATGTATTGACCTCCTTGGGGTCACTAGTTAGTGACCATCGCGCGGAACTCTCCCACCACCACTCCGAAAACACAGGTGAGTCCCTTGTGTTGATTTTCTGCCACAGGTGTATATACATGAGCATAATGGGATTTAGGAATTAGGTTCATGTATATATACACATGTTTGCATTTGTTAGGTTTCTTGTTGGATTAAAGACCCATCAACCTCTGGAAGGCTATTAAGGGCTATCAACCACTGGAGGGTTATTAGGGCCACCACAGAAACTTGCTGGTTAATAAGCAAGTATATCTTAGTCCAAAATATAAACTAGGTTGTTGTTGTTATAGATTCAGCTACTCGGAACAAGTTCCAAGTAGCACGGGCTATGGTGAGCCGTAGTGGACTTACCTGGCACGGGAACGGGGGCAGGTAGCACGGGCTATGGTGAGCCCGTAGTGGATTTACTTGGCTCAGGAGCAGGGGTAAGTATCACGGGCAATGGTGAGCCCGTAGGGGAGTTAAATGGCTCAGGAGCGGGGCAAGTAGCACGGACTATGGTGAGCCCAGAGAAAAGATCAGCATTTTTCATCCCAGAAGGTCGGAAATCGGTCAATATAGAACATTCTAGCATATAAAATTCATGACATTGTATGCTTTTCTGCATCACATAATTTTGATAGTACACCTGACGCTTATATTTTGAGAAAGCAGTCATGATACGTTTGTATTCATGGCATATGTATTTATTTATTTATTTATATACAAGAAGGAACATTGGGTTGTGAGAATACATATATCGCCACTAAAACATTGCGCTGCAAAGTTCTTACTCAACAGTTCCATATAAGAACGCGCCTAGCGGTATTCACCATACTTTCTGATCCCTCAGTTGTGGTAAGTGAAAACATATATTAAGGTCCGCGGTGACAATCGACTTGAGAATGGTCCAGGACGGACCGACACGTCGTCATCCCTTCATTTTCTAATGTGTGGTCTGGTCAACATACTTCAGCCACGTTATTGTGACTCATCATCTGCAAAACATATATTAATTTTTTGGTTAAGTACTCGGTCAATCAAGTAGCTGTCTTAGACTTTATGAAGGGTTACATAGTTTGTGTCAAGAACTACAGATAGGGTAGGATATTATCAGGGGGGGGGAAAGCGCCAAGCCATTGCGACTATATAGCACTTGGAAGGAGGTCAGGATAAGGATTTCGGATGGGACGGAGGGTGAGGAATGATGCCCAACCACTTGGACGGTCGGGGAACTGCGAGGTTTCTTATAAATCTCCGTCTCAAGGGAGGTTAGCTAAGAGGTGTTAAGGATCATGCGATTAGTAGCCAACAGTGGTCAACTTTCTATACATTATGAGGCCAGTTTGAAGAACACGGGACATGGATAAGTAATTGTAAATCCCCAGATACCTCACACCGGCCTCTCTGAAGGCCTTCAGGCGATTCACAACGACAGATCATATTAAAATTACATGAAAACACCCGACACGAGTCGATTCCACATAATAGAGTCACATAATAACACATAATAGCCAACAGGAGCAGTAAATTCTGGGGCTGTGTGGAGGAATGAAAATCCTAAATTTTCTCCTTAAAATTCTCGCCATTAAAAATTGTAAATATCTTCCCAAATATTATATATATATATATGTATATATATATATATATATATATATATATATATATATATATATATATATATATATATATATATATATATATATATATATTTATATATATATAAAACGTTAACAATTGTGTAACTAGCTTCAAAAGATTGTTACTTGCTTAGCTAAATGAACTATTTGGTTCAGTTCCTAAACCCAATGTGGGCCTCTGTAACCCTTTCCACCACCGTCCCGGGGATAGGTATCGGGTGCACAATAAAGAAATTGAATTGTAGGCAATAACGACAAAATGAATAAATTAAACCTTCACAAATTAAGAACACAAGGCAAGAACATATAGAACACAAGGCTAGAACACACAGAACACAAAGCTAGGACACATAGAACACAAGGCAAGAACATATAGAACACAAGGCTAGAACACACAGAACACAAAGCCAGGACACATAGAACACAAGGCTAGAACTAGCCTCAGTGTTACAGTATGCAATCTGTTATGTATTAAATTTTTAAACACGTCTTGAGGAAAAAAAACAGAAACATGATATTAAACAGGAGCCGAGAGAAAAACGGTGTATTGTTAAACAATATCTGGGGAACTATCAGGATAAAGAGGACCAGGAGAAAACGGCATGTTAAACAGGATAAGAAAAAGGTATCATGTTAAACAGGACCCGAAGAAAAGAGAATCATGTTAAACAGAACGAGGGAGGGGGGGAACAGTATTATTTTAAACAGGCCAAGGGAAAACTTTATGATGTTAAACAGCACCCTGGGGAAGACGGTATCATGTTAAACAGAACCTGGTGACAAATGATATATTAAACGGGACCAATTGACATCGCTATCATGTTAAACAGGACCTGTCATCAGTTTAAGTCCTTGCAAGACGCTTTTAGGCCTCACACCATAAATAAAACGAAAATGAGAAAATGAACTTTGGAGAGTTAATTTTTCAATTACCCCCGACAGTAAAAAAAACATAAGAAATATTGAGAAGATTCAAAACACATCATAAGAGACGTAACACTAACCAATTCCTGGAGACGAGAGAACCAATACAAATTAAGGAATCACGGTATCTACAGAGATTCTATTGGCCCATTATCGTCCAATACCTTCTAATGAGGTCAATAATTTCCAAGTGAGGAATCTTCTAATGCCCTTTATGCCCATGTGAGGCAACTCATATATATATATATATATATATATATATATATATATATATATATATATATATATATATATATATATATATATATATATATATATATATATATATATATATATATATATATATATATATATATATATAAACAGTACCTAGTGACGATTGTGTCACGTTAAACAGAACCTACGGACGTCTATATCACGTTAAACAGACCTATGGCGATTGTAACACGTTAAACAGCCCCAGGAACGATTGTATCACGTTAATTACGACTTAGAAACGACTTTATTACATTAAACAGGACCTAAGGGCCTAATATATAACATTAAACAGGACCTAAGGGCCGAATATATCACATTAAACAGGACACAGAGCGAGAGTATCACGTTAATTAGGTGATAATCAATTGACTCGAACCCATACTGCCAGGAGCAGTATGGGCTCGATCCAGAAGTGAGTTCGAGTCACTTCTGGGGTGCGATTTTTCAGTTGCATATATGCCTGGGGACCATTCAGGTCCCCAGTTTGCATTTGTTCGTATTTGTGTTCCTCACGTGTGCCCCAAAGAATGAGGTGATCTGATAAAATACCAAGCCCAAGACTACCATCAGAGTGCCGGCGGGATGATGGGGAACTAGCCCCGGCTACCATCATCTTTTGTCCGGTCGGGATGGTCGAGTGGTTAAGGGGTCCTGTACACCAGTTGCAGAGTGCTCCTGGCAGTATGGGTTCGAGTAACTTCTGGGGTGTGAGTTTTTAGTTGCATATATGCCTGGAAACGGTTCAGGTTTGTTCACATATTATATATATATATATATATATATATATATATATATATATATATATATATATATATATATATATATATATATATATATAATATATATATATATATATGTGTGTGTGTGTGTGTGTGTGTGTGGTGTGTGTGTGTGTGTGTGTGTGTGTGTGTGTGTGTGTGTGTGTGTGTGTGTGTGTGTGTGTGTGTGTGTGTTTTTGTGTGTGTGTACACCAATAATCAGACGATCATTGGTGAAGTGGTTACAGTACCCTGTACCCCAGGGAGGGATTCCGATGGCGAGGGTTCGAAACCTGGTCGGGTCAAAAGAGTTCTTAGTGATTAATGGTTCTGACGTTCATAAAGCCTTTGTCACACACACACACACACACACACATATAAACAATTGATAACGATATACTAGGGAACACTCTACTACAAACCTAACCAAATATGCATTATCGTCGCCAAGTCGGAGCGAAATTCTTTTAAAATGACTAAGACAAATGCAAATTAGCTCAGACAGCTGCTAGTAGATTTTTAAAAGTCACACGATCTCACGTCATGAAACGCCGAGAGCTCACTCACACACTGATCACTCGACCCGCACTAACTGTTGGCCCTACCTCCTTCCCTGCTAACGACCCCCATTAATACTGCTTCGGACGGGTTCTCAGGTTCTAATTAGTGTACCGAAGGAGAGGGTTAAGACCTAGCTTGTTTTGCGGTGACGGAGGCTGAGGAGTGAGACAGAGAGAGAGAGAGAGAGAGAGGGGGTGTTTCTGTGGCTCTGTAGGTGTCCGGGGCTGGTCGCTTCACACAACTCATGCATGACGGACATGCTACACCCAGGGGATACTAAGTTATTCCGGCTATGCAGTGTTGGGTGTCGCACCACCCTGCTGTTCTGCTAGTATCTCTCTCTCTCTCTGTCTCTCTCTCTCTCTCTTCCTGGGGCTGTATTGGTCTCGTCTGGTAGAGTACATGATTACTGAGTGTGATAATCAACACTGTTTACTGCTGCTGCTACTTCTACTGCTACTTCTACTGCTACTACTACATCTACTACTGCTGTTGCAACTACTGTTATTGCTACTAATGCTGCTGTTACTACTGATCATAATATTGCAACTCCTACTATTTCTACTGCTTCTACTACTTGTACTGCTACTACTGCTACTAATACTGCTACTACTGCTACTAATACTGCTACTACTATTAACACTACAACTACTACCCCCTACAACTCTACTATTATTACATGAGCTCTGAGTTTGGAGTGATTTAGAGGCAGGATAGCCCCAGTGGGGTCAGCTTTTCAATGCTGGAGAAGAAACTGGCTTCTTAGTACTCGGTTCGTACTAAGTACTTCTTAGTACAATTGGATAGTACTCAGCTTGAAGGGAAGGGACCTATCAGGATAAAGCGCCAAGCCATTACGAATGTGTATCACTTCGAAGGGGGTCAGGATAAGGATTTGGGATGGGACGGTGGGAAA